ACTTTGACTTTACTATCAAATTCGAGAAGGTCTTTTTCTCATTGATACCCTCAGCGTCAGTCATTTGTCTTGTACTACATTATACGCTATGCCGAGCTTTTGCTGACTTTGAAGTTGAAGAGTGTTCGTTGTTTCGTGCGTCTCACGCCTCGCCTTTCTTTGGAATCGAAAAGCGGTTGTGGGCGGCACGCTACTCTGCTCTGCAAAAGTGGTAGGTCTCTAAGAAAATGGCAGGGTTTTGCCGTTGGCAAGTATTGTCAGCTAAACGACCGACTCGATAGGGCATACTTATCGTATTTTCCGCCTTGCAATTGACCCTGCTGGTATTGAGCATCGCCAATGGCGGGGCGTACAAAGCATACTTAGTCTCTGCATCAGCTTTGGGCTTTATATCGAGTTTAGGACTCGTCGCCCTGTCTCCTCTGGAGCATACAAGGTCGCCAAGGCCCTCGATATTGCTCAGCTTTTACCTTACCCTCACGCTACTCCTGGACGTTGCGCAGACCCGTACCTTGTGGTTAGCCTCAAAGCACCAGACAGAAGTTACGTTTTCCAGGGTCTTTACATGTGCCTTGGCTTTCAAAGCAGTGTCTCTGCTCCTGGAGTCACAGAACAAGGCGCGATGGATATCCTGGGATTCGAAGGAACACAGCCCAGAAGAGACAAGTGGTCTGTTTGGGCTAGGTGCATTCATCTGGCTGAATCGCCTCTTTCTGTCTGGGTATGCGAAGGTCCTGAAAGTTGGCGACCTCTACCCTCTTGACCCAGCCATGTGTGCCGAGACTTTGGACAAGAACCTGGAACGGCACAGAGACAAGTCGGTGTCTGCAAAGCGCCATAATAAATATGGTCTTGCCCAAGCGCTGATGAAGACTCTTACCGTTCCGATATTGTTACCGGTCATTCCGCGAGCAGCAATGGCTGTGTTCCAGTTCTGCCAGTCATTCCTAATCAACACTCTTCTCAGCTATCTAGAGAACCCAGATCCATCCAAGAACAGCGGGTACGGGCTTATCGGAGCAACGATCCTCATATATCTCGGCATTGCTATCACATTCGCACTCTACTGGTACTACCAGGAGCGTGCGATGTACATGGCCAGAGGAGCACTGGTCGCGGCAATCTACAGGAAAACCACAGAGGTGGGCCTCCCTGCAGCCGACAACTCTGCACTTACGTTGATGAGTGGTGACATCGAGCGCATAATCGGCGGATTCCTGAACATACACGAGCTATGGGCCAACACGGCACAGGTTGCCGTTGCATGCTGGCTCCTCTCACAGCAGATCGGTTTGGCATTCCTTGCTCCCCTGATCGTGGTTGGCGTCTGTGCCGCATGTTCCACAATCCTGGCCCGACTCACCGGGCCACGTCAAAAGGCCTGGATGGAGCAGATCCAGAAGCGGGTCGGGCTTACTTCCACTGTGGTTGGACAGATGAAGAATTTGAAGATGTCGGGTCTTGCTGCCCCCATAAGCAAATTGGTTCAGCAGATGCGTGTTGACGAACTGAGAGCCGGGGCACGATTCCGGGTGATTCTGTCCTTCACGGCAACCCTCGGTGTTACTCCTCTTTGCCTCTCACCAGTAATGGCCTTTGCATTTGCAGCTCGTGGCCTCGGGGTGACGACGATTTTCACTTCAATGTCCTATATCGTCCTACTGGCAACGCCGCTGTCTGTTCTCTTTCAGTCAATACAAACACTAATGGCGGCCTTTACATGCCTCGACCGGATTCAGGTGTTTTTGGAGAAGGACGATCGTCGAGACTTCAGAGTCGCTACTCCATCAACACAACAGGACGAGTCAAGGACAGTCAACAGTCTCGGGGACACAGTAGGGAGTAAGGCTGTTATCTCGCCCTCATACGCGGTTGAGATATCAGGTGGATCTTTCGCGTGGAATTCAGACCGATATGTGCTTGCAAGCATCGACCTCAAGATTCCCACCGCAGGCCTGACTGTTATCATTGGGCCTGTCGCTTCTGGAAAGTCAACATTATGCAAAGCGCTGCTCGGCGAGACTCCTGTGGCACGGGGAACAACACGAACTTCTTTTGCTGCTAATTCGACTCGAGTCGGATACTGCGACCAGACTCCCTACCTCTCCAACGCCACCATTCGAGAGAACATTGTTGGATTCTCACGGTTTGACAAGGACAGATACGACGAGGCTGTTGAAGCAGCCGTGCTACGTCATGACCTGGACGTCCTGCTCCCGCAAGGAGACCAGACCCGAATCGGCACTGACGGCATTACCCTAAGCGGTGGCCAGAAACAGAGGGTCTGCCTTGCCAGAGCCCTGTACCATGGCACTGATATCGTGATCTGCGATGACGTCCTCCGAGGGCTTGATGCCGATACGGAGGACCAGGTTTTCCGGAAAGTGTTCTCGGCCGATGGCATCCTCCGCCGCAGGAGAGCAACTATGGTGTTGTCTACACATTCTGTGAGATATTTGCCATTTGCTGACCACATCATTGCTCTGAATGAGAAGGGGACGATCTCTGAGCAGGGCACATTTCACGAACTGGTATCCAATCGGGGCTATGTCTATAGCCTTAATGTTGAGGATAAAGCCCGTCGGAAGTCCGATGATGGGCAAAGTATTTCAACAGGTGCGACGGAACAGGGGGTAAAGTTGAAGCTGACTACCAGAAATACCCACGGAGACACAGATAAGTCAGAAAAAGATGACCACAGCCGTATGTTTGGTGACGTTCAGGTCTACAAGCATTACTTTGCTCGCATCGGCATCTTGTCCAAACTGGCATTTCTGGTGTCTGCCGTGGCTTGGGGGTTCTTCTACAGCTTCCCAAATGTTTGGCTGACCTTCTGGTCTGACGATATCGCATCTGCGCACCCTGATCACTCGACCTCCTTCTTTCTCGGATTCTACGCTCTGTTCCAGATCTGCATTCCGATTTCTTTGCTCATTATGAGCCTGATATGCTTCACAAAGATTGTACACCAATCTGGGTCTAGACTGCACCAGGATGCATTGACTACAGTCATCTCAGCGCCCCTTAAGTTCTTCTCCAGGACGGACACAGGAACCATTACCAATCTTTTTTCCCAAGACATGACTCTGGTTGACGGCAGGCTCCCGATGGCTCTATCGAACATGTCTCTTTATGTCTTCTCATCATTGGGCCAGGCTGCTGTGATAGCCACATCTTCCCCATACCTTGCCATCACGTATCCATTCCTATTTGGACTTCTGTATGTCATACAGAAATTCTACCTCCGCACATCGCGACAGATGCGGCTTTTGGACCTCGAAATGAAAGGCCCACTCTAGTAAGTCCAGCTGATACTAATGTTCGAAACCAAATGCTAACGACCGCAGCTCTCATTTCATTGACACGATCAAGGGATTAGCAACCATCCGCGCATTTGGATGGATTTCGGAAAATACCCACTTGAACAGAACCTATCTGGATACATCCCAGAGACCAGCCTACCTCCTAGCCATCATCCAGCATTGGCTGGGCTTCGTGCTCCGGCTCATAGTTGCGATTCTCGCCGTCGCCATTGTCACACTGGCCACGCAGCTAGGCTCCAACACAGCTTTCACGGGCGCCAGTCTTGTGACACTGATGAGCTTCTCTGAAGGCTTGATGTACGTCATCACCATGTACACGCTTCTCGAGACGTCCATCGGTGCTGTTGCCAGGTTGAAGAGCTTCAGCGAGAAGGTTCAGCCAGAAGGACATGGTAGCGAAACACTGGTCCCGCCACCGTTCTGGCCACAAGGAGGGATTAGGCTGAACAATGTGTCGGCCACATACGCGTAAGTGTACCAAGACATCCCGAAAGCTCGACCACTACTAAAAGAATACTTTGCTAGGGACATGAGCATCGAGTCACCGGTATCATCAGATTCTGATGCCGCTGGGGGTGAGAACCCGGGCAGCGATAGCACCAGCACAGAACAGCAGCCATTGGCATTGAAAAGCCTGGACATCATCATACGTCCCGGCGAGAAAGTCGCCATATGTGGCCGAAGCGGAAGTGGAAAGTCATCCATAATATCACTGCTTCTCCGGCTTCTGGATCCTCTCCCCAGTTGTACTGAAAGCATATTTATCGATGACACACCTCTTCAACTGGTCGATCGTACCAGCCTCCGGGAGCGCATCCTCACAATTCCCCAGGATGTGGTATTCCTGCCAGACGGTTCCTCATTCCAGATGAACCTGGACCCATTTGGTGTATCCTCTGAGGAAGACTGCTGGGCTGTCCTGGATTCCGTCGGACTGAGGAACTTGGTTGAGGAACATGGGGGTCTTGCAGCGGGGATGGATGTTGTCATGCTGTCTCAGGGGCAGAAACAGCTGTTCAATCTTGCTCGCGCCCTTCTAAGGCACAGAAGCAGGGCCCGAGACACGAGGAACAGCTATGGCGACACCGGCGCGATGCAACGCGGGATTCTTCTCCTCGACGAGTTCAGCTCTGGTGTCGACCATGACACCGATAGGGCCATGCAGAAGATTATCCGAGAAGAATTCGGGGATTACACGGTCATTATGATTAGCCATCGGCTGGATGTTGTCATGGAATATGATACAGTCGTCATGATGGATGCTGGTAGTATTGTGGAGACAGGGCGGCCTTCGACATTAATCGAAACGGAAGGATCCAGGTTCAGGGAACTGTGGATGGTCGGGCGCGAGGGGACCTGAACACACAATACAATGCGCCAGGAGTTTTATACAGTTTCATAACAATTAACACAGCAGTACTGAGGTGGCTGGATACCAACACAGAGGAGGACGATAACACATTTCATTAGCATTGGCAGCCTAGACCAAACATTCCGAAGCCAGTCTTATATGGAGTGCACCTGCCAATACGGTATAATCTGCCAAAGCTCTTCCTCCTACGATGTACTCTAACCCCTGCCACCGATGATATACTGGCGCATCCGGGACAACCTCGATGCCGCCTCGCTTTCAGCAAACCCAGTATCATGAGGCCCTAATCGGAAGCCTGCAAATATGGCACTATGGCCGAGTGGTCTAAGGCGATAGACTCGAATGTTCTCGGGATATTGAGATGATCTATTCTCTTCGGAGGCGTCGGTTCAAATCCGACTGGTGTCGCACACTGTTTATTTTGCACTTTTTTTTATCATTAGTTGCGCTTCCCAGTGCTTGATTGTGTGATTAAATGTCATTCTGGCCAAATATCAATAATGGCAGAGTTTCTCAGGCTGACAGAGTGGGGACGAGGGTTGCCAAGCTTTGCACGTTGAGTGTCACCGAATTTCGTGCTCACAGGATCACCAAAGTTCACGGTAAATGCCTCCTACTAAAAGCAGTTAGACACATAGCTGTGGGAATAGGCGTCGGGAACACGTTGCCAATATGGACTCATACTGCATATAAGCTCAACGATGACAGTTACAGGTAGTTTGCTCACAATGCGGACATCGTTCCAAGGAAAGCATTCCACCCCGAAATTTTTCAATGCTTCAACTAGGATGTTGAACTCTCTAGCGAAGAGTGAGTTCTCGTTCTGGAAGATTCAGGAGCATAGCTCTGTCACCCTTATGTTCAAATGCCCCAAGTCTGTAATAAAAGATATCTCCAGTCTCAGGATCTCGTTCTGGTGCAATGAGGAGACCGCCAAGAGCACCCCTGGCAGTGTTGTCATGTATGGTTGTCAAGAGGAGACAAAGACTACTTTCAAGTTTGCGACCCTCGACATCACTATTTCTGGGCACCCAATCCAGCCATAAGTCAGTGCGGCCGTAGGTGCCAGATGCTTCCCATCTGTTTGGCCATCTGCCCGAATCTTTAACGTGATGGGCGCTCTCTAGCTTCAATGGTACTGGTCGGAACTTTCCAGAGAGGGTAATCGACGAACCGAATGCGACCGATACCATGGCATTTTTGTGAGAGGGTTGCAAGTCCGTTCTGATGACTCGAATCGTAGTGTGAGTACCGCTCACGAGGCAATCGACACCCGCATTTCGAGACGCCCAACTCCAGGAGGGTGCAATGTATTTCTTCCTATCCCGCAAGAATCCCATCAATTCGGTGAGTGACAATGTCGGTTTATTGCATACCCAACGGAGTTGCCATTCGAAGTCATCATTCTGCCACAGCCCCACAAGATAATTTTCTGGCTTTCCTTCCTCAATTTTGCGGCTTTCGATGAACTTGGCCGCGCCGGCTATTGCTTTAAGTCTGTCCGAGGCCTCTGTAAGCGCCCTCGACGAGTAATTACGTATGGCGTTGAACCAGAACCACATAGATGGTTTCAAAACCATGAATGGGTTAGACTGGCGTCGTCCATCCTCTAAACGAATTCCTTTGCTGCACCTGAACTGCAGTATTTTGTTGCCAAAGACAACTTGCCGTGTGGACATGACCTCCTCTTGCCACACCCAAGCACGAGTCTCCCATGCCGACCCCGCAAGGTCTTGTTGTCCTGGGAACATAGGTTCTCGTTGCTCGAGTCGAACAGAGTATTGACCAGAGATACTGGGATCGATTGTAGATCGGAAGTCAACAGTCACTATTTGATCAATGGGCCGTTCAAGAAAATGCTGCGCAGACGAAGAGCATTTGGCAGCGCTGATAGTGACTTGCGAGTGCGCGAAAACATCACACATTGTGATTGCTTGAGCCTCCCAGTCATCGTGATCATCCTGCACGATGCAAAGGGCATCAATCCAAAGATATGGGATTCCAAGCTTTCGGGCAACATGAATCGCATCCTGGAAGGTCGCCGGCATGCTTTGTATGTCGATGCCTGTCGTCTTGTGCTCGTACTTGTTCGCTTGAGTGGTTTTCATTGTGAGTGAGTCACCCCAACAATAACTGAGCGTGGCGTATTGTAGCTGAGTTTTGGGAGGACACAAGGAAAGAATCTCGCCGCTCTCTATGAGTCTTGCTGAAGCGTTCTTGGGGTCTCTGAGATCCAATAAGCGCCTAGGTGCAAATGTGGTCTCGGTGGTCTTTTTCTTGCATTCTGGATGGTCCCTGTTGCATTCGTCAATGCACTGTCTCATGAAGCCAACGTTTCGGTCAGACGTTGGCCCATCAGGATCCAATGGTGTGGTTTCGATTCCGAGCCATTCCTGGCACGGCCCTTGATACGCGAATTCGTCGATTAGCTGATGCTGTCCATCAAAGAACCTTGTGAGACGTACCCGGCCAAGCCACTACATCGAATTCGTAGACGTGCGCTTCGTTCGGCTCCTGATCTGGGCAAAAGACAAGCACCGCCAGGCTGTCAAGCATCTGCCCGGACGGTTGAACTGTAGCTTCATCTTCATAATCAAAAATGGTACGATATTCACTCCATTCGTACTGTAGAGTGAAATGGAGTGTTGAACCTTGATTGTTCCACCAAGTACAGTCTTTGTATTCTTTTTCGAAGAGAGCTCTCAGTGTCGAACACAGTTGACAGGTTCCGACGGCTGATTCAGGAAGTTCAAGCATGCTAGGAACCGTCACCAGACGTTTGTGGTGGTCCCCAGCACAGAAATGACGGTACTGATCCGTGCGATGCACGCTAGAACCTTCGAAGCCATAGCCCGTACTACCCAGTCTCCATCCGAATGCGTCCATACTTGCTTCCCTGTGAGTGCGGATTCCGTCGGTTCCAGTATCTTGCCAATCGTTGCGTTCAAAGCCGGAAAGATCCAAGACAGTTCTTCCATTCGAGGTATCCACCCGTGTGGTTCCGCCGGCAAGCTGATCATCGATTGTTAGGGCCCGCAGGCAGAGGCTGCATAGATCATTGCTGCCGGTGTCCATTTTCTATGCGGCCTCCGAAGTTTCTCGAAGATCATCAGCTTTCAATCCAGTCGATGTTACCCTTGCGGATGGTGGGTGGAGGAGAATGCGTGCCTTCGCACATGCTCTAAACAACTGATCTACAGCATGAATTAAGTATTGTTCGTCACACTCTGACGTGGCACAAAGGAGCTGGGAAGCTCGCACCAGATTGTCGTGAATATGGGTCCATGCAGATGTTCCGAGGTTGCTCTGCGTCAAATGCATGGCGTCTGCGTGGTTGAGTTGGCAATATTGCTTCATATGGTGAAGCGCCGGATTACTCCGTACATCGTTCCCTTCATGCCAAGCCAGGCTTGCACATTCGAATGCGAGCTCAGAAAATTGGCCCAGTATTTCCACGAAACGGAGTGAAGACCTCAAATGGTGGACGATCGCTGAGCTGGAAATTGAGCGAAGTTGGGCCGGGCTGGGCTGAGCTGAGCTGGGAGCGCTCTCGAGTTCAATTACTTGAGGTTGCTGCAGGCGATGCTTTTTCGGTATCACAAGTAAGACATGGGCACCGTGTCAGAATACATAGACAGACGGTGGCGCCGCGTAATCAACTCGGGCATCGGCATGTCATGCGGCCGCTGATTCTCATATCCGGTGCCTCGACGAGCGACAGGAAATACCAGAATACAGACTGAGAGCCGGGATTTCTCAAGCTATCACTTCAGAGCATGGATATTCGCAGTAGGGTATTTTATATGCGGATGCAAAGAATACAAATCTGAATATTGAACATAGATATAGGTGGGATCGACGTAGATATAAATGCTAGGAGTTGCACTGCAACTGGGATCTAGACTCCTGGGCTCTTAGTTAGAATGCGTATGTCACCATCTCCTAAAATTGGCTGATGTCGCATTTTCCTGTAAACGGGAACAGAACCCAGTGTCTTCTCGTACAAGAAGGCAGGAACGCGAACGAGAAGGCTGCCTCACAAGGCGGACATGGCTACACAAGGAACCGTGCGGTCTACCGTCACAGCATTTACGTAATCACAGTCTTCAAGCAATCCTTCTTCCTCGAAACCATCTATTAATTTCTGCGTAGTGCTACGAGGACAGAGGTCGAGGAAGCCCGAACTATGAAGTTAGAGAAAGAGCTGGGGGCGATCTCAGAGCTGTTCTTATGTTGCCGGCCTCAATGGGAGAAGGAGCACCCTGGGTGGTCGACTTATTCCCGCTGTTGAAAACGTCATCCTCGGCAGAAGTGGGGAGCCCGTTATCGATGTCACCGTCATCTTCATTCAGGAGCGCAGTGGCGATATATCCGGGGTAATCTTCTGACTCCTCAGTCCATCTCTCATCTGACTGTTTCTGTTGTGGGTGCATCAGTTGTCTGATGCGAGGACCCGTTTCGTCGGCCGTGTCCTCGGTGTATTGGGCTGGCAAGACAGCGAATTGACTTCCATGGCAACCTCTCAGCGATGGCTCATTGCTTGCTCAAGCCTCTTGTCGGTATAGGCCCGACCCTTCTCGTCGTCCTTGTGCTGGAGCCTGTTCCATTCATCCAAGAACAAATCTGTCATCTCTCGATTTGACCTCGGCGCTGTTGACAAGGAAACTGAAACAGAGCAGAGCGTTGGCCAACGAGTCCCACTCGACCTTGACGGGGCGTACCCGCCGCCACAATAGGCTTTACAACCGTAACTTACTCCATGGTATCGATGTGCCTCATTATTTTCATCAATTCACCCAGAACCCTGTAGAAAATATAGAAAGTTACAACAGGGAGAGTAGTTCATACAAAGTCGTAAACCATACAAAGGAAACTGAAGTACGGCACAGTCAAACCTTTCCGCATCCAAACTTGTGCCAGGTAAGGAGTGTGTTGTTGAGCCAATCCCGGGCTCGGCGGACAAATGAGTGACAGCCAGTCGACAAACATCCTCTGGCATTTTACCATTCTTCCCTTCAGGCGTTGAAGCTTCGAGCATGTCTCCTGGCGGTACCGCCGCCGGCATTGTTACCAGTCCCTTCGTCGTCATCACCTGTGCCCTGACCTGTGCCCTGGCCGGTGCCAGCACCAGTTCCAGCTCCAGTAGCGGGCGGCGTAACAGGCGCAGTAGCAGGCGTCGTCGAGGATGTATTAGTCGCACCATTGGCCATCTGGAAAGCAATAACTCCGCCAAAGGGGCCAGCAGCATTATTGTTGGCAATCTTCAGGAGGCACACGCCCGTCTGGCCGTTGACCTGGCCTGTGCAGGTCGTGCCCGCGGGGATGGTGAACGCGACGTTGAAGTCCTGGTTGACGTTGGTGGCGCGCTTGGTGATGACGCCCGTGTTCTCCAGCAGCGACCGGACGTA